TATTTTGTGACTGGGAAAACTCAGACATACAGTAGCTCAAGATTTTACTAAGTCTTACTGAATTGAGACATATACAAAGGTAATACTTTTTTAAAAAATTAAAATGAAATTCTATAAAATAATAATCTTCCAAAATGTAAAAGTGCATATATTATGCATATTACATTCAATTAATATAACTATTTACTCACCAACTCCATTAAATCTTTTAACTTCCCAATTTCTTCTGGAATGGATACCAGTTTATTATTACTGACGACCAAAACTTTAAGGGGAAGATCAAATAGGTATTTTGGCAATGTTGATAAAAGATTTCGACTGAAAAGAATCAGATAGTCTCATTATGAGAAATACGTATGAAATGTGACATATTAAAAAAGAAGAAATCACTTTGTAAGTAAATAATATTCTATCACTAAGTAATAATAATCACTGAGTGCTCACTTTGCATCAGGCACAGTGCTAAATTTCTTATACGCACTGTCTCATTAAATTCTCACATTAACAACACAAGATCAAGTAGTTATTATCTTCATTATACAAATCAGAAAATGAAAGTTAAAACTGCTTAAGTGACTTGCCCAAGTACAGCAGAGATCCATAGCATAGCAAAGCCTATGCAGTCAGACCTATGATACTGCTCTACACACCATCACTTCTCAAAAACCCGGAATGATTCTACTGAGCTCAAGAATGTCAGAACCTTGCTCCTTAATATGTCTTGTATATTCAATACTTCTATGCTAAGGAAAGTCTCCAGGAATAAATATGCATGCACTATGTTCAAATTTATAAAAGAATGAATAGGACTGTATCTTCAAAAACATGTAGTAACCCTAACCCATTCCCTTTTAAAGTTTAACAGCCTATTAGCACCTTTATCTCAGCTCAAAGTTGGTAAAAACATTCTCATCTCTGTAGATACATTTAAATATAATAACTAACATTAAAGAGCAGCTCATGTGAATTAACTCTCACAATGATACCCACTTTACAGATCATGAAATAGTCACAAAGAGTTTAAGTAAACTGCTCAAAGTCACACAGCTGTAAAGTGGGAGAGGCAGGATTCAAACCCAGGCAATCTGGCTCTGGGGCCTCGGCCCTCAAATTACTATGGTCAAATTTATATGCCAAAATCCAAAAAACCCCTTATGAAAATACACATTTTGCCATTCCATTTACATACTAACAAGCATTGATAAGCAATAAGCTATTATTTTTCCTATTTTTCAAAGTGACGTTTATAAACCTGTATGTAGCATTCTGTATAACATACACAGCAACAAAAGTCCAGTGTTACCCAAGAGGGAGACTTCAAGACCCTTCACCTCATCTTTTCTCTGGCAAAGGACATCCAGAAACACTAGACTGGCTTTAATCACATGGCACAAACAAACAAAAAATGGCAATGCCCCTCAACTAGCAATACTGGCCAGGCTGCTGGAATATCAAATGTGCTAGGGTCCTGTCATAATCCTTCATATTTTCAGGGTCTAGTAGGCTCCTTGGAAAAACGGTCCCTCTGGGCCCCTTCACACCAGGGCACACAAGGATCCTTCTGTAGGATTCTACTAAAAAAGGGGGGTAGTATATAGGAAGAGAGAAGAGTTGAAAAATTATCTTATAAGTTTATTAAGATATTTTCAGCAAAATAAATAAATACATGGAAGAAATAATGGCAAACTCATTCTAATACTTCTTCAGGCCAAAAATAGCTTAAAATCAGCTTATTTTCTTCCCTTAAAAAGCATATTCAGGGCGGAAACAGTGGCTCGCGCCTGTAATCCCAAAACTTTGGGAGGCCGAGGCAGGCAAACCATTTGAGGTCAGGAGTTTGAGACCAGCCTGGCCAATATGGTGAAACACTGTCTCTACTAAAAATTAGCCAGGCCTGGTGGGGTGCCTATAATTCCAGCTACTCAGGAGGCTGAAGCAGGTGGATTATTTGAACTTGGGAGGTGGAGTTTGCAGTGAGCCAAGATGGCACCACTCCACCCTGGGAGGCAGAACAAGACTCAAAAAATATATCTATTCATTGAGTTAACACATAATCATCTTTCATGAGAATCTGGTTTCTTCATACTAGCTAATAAGTTATTAATTGTCATTTTTTTTACTACATGCTTTAAAGAGGAAATCAGTCACTAGAACAAATGTTATTTCAATATAGTTTGCTCAAAGATTTTTATGACTATAAAAAACAATCAAAGTTGACTCTTACAGATCACAACAGGATAGAATCAGAGAAAGTTTTAGTAAACTAAGATTACCATATTTGTTAAGGGAGAAATATAATTCAGTTTTTGGCAAATCATTTTTTCTGCAAAAGAACAAAATGAAACAGAAACAAAGACAAAACTTAAACATACCTCACTTTCCACAAACCTCCCTTATGCCAGGCCAAGGAGATTTATACCTACTTAGAGAACAAGGATTGATATATATGGAAGGAAATTTCTCTCACACATTTCTTTTCCTTTTCCCTTTTCTTTTTTCTTTCCTTTTCTTTTTTCTCTTCTCTTCTCTTTTTTCTTTTCTTTTGACAGAGTCTTGCTCTATCACCCAGACTGGAGGGCATGGCGTGATCTCAGGTCACTACAACCTCTGCCTCCTGGGTTCAATCTATTCTCCTGCCTCAGCCTCCGAGTAGCTAGGATTACAGGTGTCTGTCACCTCACCCGGCTAATTTTTGTATTTTTCATAGAGATGGGGTTTCACCATGTTGGTCAGTCTGGTCTCAAACACCTGACCCTTGTGATCCGCCCACCTCGGCCTCCCAAAGTGCTGGGATTACAGGTGTGAGCCACTGCACCTGGCAGTGTAAAGTGGTTTCAGTTAAAATAGCATGTACTGTCAGGTAATATCACTGGAGGAGTCATATAAAAGAAGTGAGATGAGAACATTATCATTTATGTATATTATAGTTATTACTCCTCTATATGTGAATTTAGACAACTTGGTTAATGAGGAGATTATCCCTTCCAACTGAATAAAAAAAGAACAAATTCTAAAATTAAGTCAAAATATATCAATTTTCATTCAATGTTACTGATTTGGCAGGGAAAGTTTTGTCTTATACTTATTGAGTGTTCACTCTTTTATATACATAGGGTAAGAGCTATGTATGAATGAGAGCTCTACAGTCATACTGCTTTGATTTTAATCTTGGCTCTACCACTTGCTGCATATATCTATGAATCTGGACAAAGAGCTTAACCCAGTTTCCTCATCTGTAATGCAGGGATAACAATAATACCTATCTCAAAATGCTGTCATGAAAACTAGATAAGGTAATATGGGTAAAGCATTTGGAATACTGCTTGGCACATGATAAGCACTTACTAAGTATAAATACGAACTGTCATCCACTTCCAAACCTTTCAACATTCCCATCCCACTCTAACCATACTTGAAGTAGAAGCAAGAGGTCATAAAAGTGAGAAAAAATAGCTCAAGCACTGTTTCTTTGTTTCACATATCTAAGGATGCATGTAAAATCTGTATTGTGATGCTATAATTTCAGGAAAATATTTATAGTGTAAAGCCTTGCTATACAAACTGAGGTCTAAGGACCAGCAGGTAGGCATGGGCATTGCCAAGGGGCCTATTAGAAATGCAGACCCCACAACAGACCTAAGAAATTAGAATCTGCATTCTAACAGATCCCAAGGTAATTCCTATGTGTTAAAGTTTGAGAAGCTCCACTCTCAAGAACAAGATAAAAACCTACAAAATAACATGAACATATGAAAAACACAAATAAGATACTATTGAGATAAATTTAAGCTACACAGCCATATCAAACATATTCCTTTGCTACTAAAAAAGAATTAGAATGACAATAAAAAACAAAATTTATTTTTGTTTCCTTACCTAATGTTAAGGTATGTCAACATCTGCAGATTTTTAATGGCTTCAGGAATGGTTTTGATGCAATTATGATATAAATTTAATGTTTCCAGGGGTGCAAATAACCAGACATCAGAAGGAATTTCTGTAAAACGATTTCTGGAAAGATCTGGAAAAAAAAGTGTCTGAGTATTAGACATATACCTATATCTATGGTAATTAAAATAACTATTTTCACACTTGCTGAATCACTTAGAATCTAAGCAACTACTTAAAATATTTTAAAATAGACAATGTTACCCTTGAGGGGAAAAAAATATCATTAACAAATTCACTCATACACCCAGGTGCAGTGGCTAACACCTGTAATCCCAGCAGTTTGGGAGGCCAAGGCAGGAGAATCATTTGAGCTCAGGAGTTGGAGACCAGCCTGGCCAATATGGCAAAATGCTGTCTCTACTAAAACACAAAAATTAGCTGGATGTGGTGGTGGGTGCCTGTAATCCCAGCTACTCAGGAGGCTGAGGCAGGAGAATTGCTTGAACCCAGGAGGTGGATGTTGCAGTGAGCTGAGATCATGCCACTGCACGCCAGCCTGGGTAACACTGCGAGACTCTGTCTCAAAAAAAAAAAAATACTCATAGAATACATGTTTATTAACTAAGCATACTTCATATGCTTCAATATGTCTAAAATCCAAACATGCTATGTCTTTTAAAATAGCAATGAAGATTTATATCTAATCCTTAAAAGCAAACACAAAAATACCTCCCACGATCCCGCACCCCCCTCCATCTGCCTCTTCTTCTTTCACAGCCAAACTTACATAAATCCACAACACAACTAAATTTCTTACTTACCATAGACTTCTCAAGGCACTACAAACTGGTTTCTATGCACTCTCACATTCACCAATACCAACACCCAACATATCAATAACCATTCCATATGTCTGGAAATATTATTTTCCTTTGGCTTAGAAGACTATAATTCTGGGATCTCTTCCTAACACCTCTCTGCCTACTTCTTATTTTCTTTTGCTAGGTTTTCCTCTACCTGTATCATAAATGTGGGTGTTCCCAAGAACTATGACGTAAGACACTTTCTCTTCTTGAGATATACACCCCCAACCAGTAGGAGCCGCCCTCAATAAAGAGCGCTCCAAGTCCGCAACTGGCGCCGCCTCATCCCCTCGCGCCGCCTCATCCCCTCGCGCCGCCTCATCCCCTCCCACTGCCTCATTCCCTCACACTGCCTCTGAGCGACCACTCCACAGGCAGACATGATGGAAGTGGATCTCCCGGGGAAGCTTTTCGTTGGGGGCCTCAACCTCAAAACCAACGAGAAAGCCCTCAGGGCAGAGTTTAGCAAGTATGGCTGCATCGTCAAGGTGGACCTGATGAAAGACCGAGAAACCATGAAGTCGAGGGGCTTTGCGTTCATCACCTTTGAAAGCCCGGAAGACGCCAGGGCTGCCGCCAGAGATATGAATGGCAATTACCTGGATGGTAAGTCCATAAGGGTGGCCCAGGCCATGAAACCGGCGTTCCAGAGCAGCCGGTGGGGCCCGAGGCCCCCTAGCAGCTACAGCCACCCAATGTTCCCGCGCGGGATCCGTGGGGGTGGCGGCAGCCCGTGGCGACCCCCATCATGGGGCAGGCCCAATGATAATGGCGGCTACGTGAGGCGCTACAGAGCCCAAATGCCCATGAAGCACAGGCTGCAGCCGGTACTGCACTGGGCCAGCCCACGCCGCAAGAGGGCCGCACCATGGGGCCTAGCTCGCAGCGGTGGCAGTGAAATGCAGGGAAACACCCTAGCCTTGGGGGAGCGAGGCGGCTGCTCAGGCCTGCCCTGCTGGGAGCCTCCACACTACCACCCCTACCTGGGCTGGCAGACGCCCAGAGACAGCTACTCGAGCCGATACTACTACGACTCCCGGGATTTTGCTCCCTCACCCAGAGAGTACAGCCGCCATCATTATGGCCACTCCAGTGTCTGGGGCTACTGTCCCTCGAGAGGCCATGGCCACCGAGACGGCTACAAGGGTCGCGACCGTGACTATGCAGATCATCCAAGCAGAAGCCCTTACCGAGAGCCCTTTGAGAGCTGCGGGGACCCGTACAGCACCGCCCCCAGGCAGGGAACACCGCCATCTTATGTAAGAGAAGGCCGCCATGACGAGTACGGGGGCCGCTCCCCAGACGCGTACAGCCGGGGCCGCTCGCTCGACACCTATGGAGGGGGGCACTCGCTCAACACCTACGGAGGGGGGCGCTCCATCGACGCCTATGGAGGGGGCCGCTCCCTCGACGCCGAAGGTGGGGGCCGCTCGCTTGATGACGACGGAGGGGGCAGCTCGCTGGAAGCCTACAGCGGGTGCCGCTCGCTTGACACCAACAGAGGGGGGCGCTCCGTCAACACCTATGGAGGGCGCCGCTCCCTCCACGCCGACGGAGGGGGCAGCTCGCTGGAAGCCTACAGCGGGGGCCGCTCGTTCCACGCCTGCGGTGGGGGCCGCTCCCTCGAGGCCTACGGCAGGGGCCGCTCGCTTGACACCGACAGACGGGGGCGCTCCGTCGACACCTATGGAGGGCGCCGCTCCCTCGACGCCGACGGAGGGGGCCGCTCGCTTGAAGCCGACCGAGGGGGCCGCTCCCTCAAGGCCTATGGCAGGGGCCGCTCGCTTGACAACGACAGAGGGGGGCGCTCCATCGACACCTATGGAGGGCGCCGCTCCCTCGATGCCGATGGAGGGGGCAGCTCGCTGGAAGCCTACAGCGGTGGCCGCTCATTCGACGCCTATGGTGGGGGCCGCTCCCTCGAGGCCTACGGCAGGGGCCGCTCGCTTGACACTGACAGAGGGGGGCGCTCCGTTGACACCTATGTAGGGCGCCGCTCCCTCGACGCCGACGGAGGGGACAGCTCGCTGGAAGCCTACGGCAGGGGCCGCTCCCTCAAGGCCTACAGAGGGGGCCGCTCCCTAGATGCCTACAGCAGGGGCCGTGACAATTACAGAAATAGTTACAGCTGGAGCGACCACTATGGAGGAGGAGACCTCTACAAGAAGTACCGGCACCGCTCACTCGATGCCTACACTGGGGGCCACAACAGTTACAGCGGCAGTTACAGGAGGAGTGGAGGAGGAGGCCACTCTGGAGGAGGAAGCCACTACAAGGAGTACCAGGGCCGCAACGGCCGCGACAGTTACAGCAAAATTTACATCCAGAGCGACCGATACTTGAGGGGCCAAGACCAAGTAGGCAGACGAGGATCATGGCTCCCTCCGCCCATAGAAAGGGGCAGCCCTCCACCACATGATTCTTACAGCCAGTCGGGCTCCAGGGTTCCCAGAGGCCATCTAGGAAGCCGCTTGGAGAGAGAGGAAGGCCGAAGCAGATACCAAGCAGGAGCAGACTTGGGACCAAAAATCTCTTTTCAAAGAAAGTAACAAAAAGAACCTGTTCTATGGTAACTACTCAAGAACTAGTATAAGGAACAGTTGTTTTTATTTTTTAAGAATTTCTTGTTATAATTTCCACTTTTATGTTTTTGCCGGGAAAAACTTAAGATTTGTTTAATTTAGTTTTGAAATTGTTAACGATTCTTTCAACAAGTTCATGTTAAAAGTATAAGATATAAGCCTGAGTCCTAGTCGTCTTACATTTACAAGTAGACATTTGATTAATAGCTTCTTTCCATGTAAACTTTCCTGATAAATGAGGTAAACAGTTCTGAGATCTTTCATAAACATCTGCTCACCTAAAATGGAAAAATGGATCATTCTGCTCATTTAAACCAACTAGATTTTGGGTGGAGAGTGGGCAGATCACAAGGTCAGGAGTTCGAGGCCAGCCTGACCAACATGGTGAAATCCCATTTCTACTAAAATTATAAAAATTAGCTGAGTGTGGTGTCACACGCCTGTAATCCCAGCTACTCAGGAGGTTAAGGCAGGTGAATCACTTGAACCCAGGAGGCAGAGGTTGCAGTGAGCTGTGATGGCACCACTGCACTCTAGCCTGGGTGACAGAGAAAGACTGTCTCAAAAAAAAAAAAAAAAAACATGAAAGTTGTAGGAATATGGTTACTTCTGTTAAATCACAGAAATGTAGGACATCACCTAATATCAGAGTATCAAATTAGAAAGATCAAAAATTGGCTATCAGGAAGGCCTACACTTAGAAAGTGAGTAGAGAAAAAAACAGCAAGCAGAAAAGGCTGAAAATAATGGTCATGAGAAAACACAGTAACCATATGAAGAGATCAAACAAGTTCAAAAAGCTGACCTTTTTTTTCCAAGATAACTGATTAGAACTATTTCCAGCACACCTCATCCACTTCGAAAAACCAAATGGTAGACAGACAATCACACTTTGAATACATTATCCAGGAGGGAACACGGGGTTCAACAGAAAAAGTGAAAAGAAACTCCAAAATCTAGGAATGAGAAGGAAAGCAGAGACTGTGTGGTCAGGACAGTCTGGGAACTGGCAATGAATCCCTAATACAAGAGAGAGTATCTTTCTCCAGTCCACTTCCCCACTGGGAATCATACAGTCCAGGCTACAGGAAACCATCCTGACCCATCCAAATCCTGAATCTGATTTAGGGGGCATCCAGGAGACTGTGAGAAGGAACTGCCCCAGGGAGGTAACATGCCCTGGGTCCCACACCCTTCCTGAGAACTAAGTAGTCACAGTAAGATGCCATTCTTGATCCTAGCTCTTAGCAAACTATGAGTGGTCCTGGGAATCTGCAGTACCATTCTTGGCCATTGGGGAAGATCAGGCTGCATCTTGCAGAGCAGGGGCTTGAGCAGGGATGGGGATCCCACAACCAAAACTGAGAATCAGACATGGCATACATGGGCTCCAGCCTCTGGTATTGGAACCAGGCTCCCCATGCTCCAATCCCGAGCAGGATGAGTTACTGAAGAGGCTTGGTCTTGAGCTGGGTGCTGGCTTCAATGGCTCATGGTTGAATTATGGCCTGGGTGCAAACTGCCATAACAGAACAGCCTGGTTGGCTGCCACAGCTGGGATGGGGGAGGGACGGTAGTGGGCTCATCCTCCCTGGCACCCATGGCAGGACCTCAGCACAGCAGCAGTTACTTCTCACCCAAGCATTTCACCAGAGGCCTGAGGACTATACTGCCCACCCCACCCCCACATCATGGCTGATGCATGCACTTGCTATTGGTAGGTGCTAAGTACAAGCTTGCCCAATCTGGATCCACCCAGCTTCATCCCCCTAACCCTATGCCAAACGCTGTTGGGGCCCAGGCTCTGGGGCATTCCACAACCCAATCAACCACCAGGGACACATGAACACTTCTAGGAGACAGAGACTGGGCATAAACACCCTACTTCTACAGTCTCAGCTACAAGCACCACCTTCTGGCCTAGAAGCCAGTTTGCATGGCCTGTCGCAACCACTTCCAGCACAAGAGCACAGTGCATGGGAACTAGGAGATCATCTTACCACCACCTCTACCTCTATCACCCACACTACCCCAGCCGCTCAGGAGCTCAAGAGCCTGCTTATCTGCCTGGTATACTTCTACTAAAACTAGCATCTGAGAAAGCCAGCCAGATGCCAAAATTATTAGCCTGCCTGGAAACTGCCAACACAGGAACTAGCATATGCTGTCCCGGGTCACAAGGATAGACATAAACCTGGCTGGGCATGGTGACTCATGCCTGTAAGCCCAGCACTTTGGGAGGCTAAGGTGGGTGGATCACAAGGTCAGGAGTTTGAGACCATCCTGGATGACACAGTGAAACCCCACCTCTACTAAAAACACAAAAATACTAGCTGAGTGTGGTGGCATGTGCCTATAATCCCAGCTACTCGGGAGGCTGAGGCAGGAGAATCGCTTGAACCCAGAGGTGGAGGTTGCAGTGAGTGAGCAGAGATCGCACCACTGCATTACAGACTGGGTGACTTTTGTTTTTTTGAGACTTCACCTCAAAAAAACCTGATGATGGGCCCATCAGGCATTCTAGTGACAAGCACAACTTCACCACAGTCCCCACCAAGAACCTCATATTAACACAATAAGGATAGCCATACAGATTCTTCACTACTGCATGCACCTGGAAGCAAAGACAGAAGGTCCTACCCAATCAACATCATTGTTGCATCTTCAAGAAAAAAGTCCCCCATCCACACGAAAGTAATTAAAAAAAAAAAAAGATATAGCTATGAAGTCAGATGAGCAGAAACCAACATAAAAATACACAAAGCATGAAAAAGCTAGGCAATATGATGGCAAATAAATATGATGGCAAATAAACGATGGCCTCAATTATTCCATCTCTACAGTTCCCCAATGTCTTAACTAATTCCAGCATTAAGTCAAAAGTCCACCTCCAAAGTCTCATCTGTGACAAGGCAAGTCCCTTCCATCTACAAGCCTGTAAAATCAAAATCAAGTTAGTTACTTCCTAGATACAATGGAGGTACAGGCATTGTGTAATACACTCATTCCAAATGGGAGAAACTGGCCAAAATGAAAGGGCCTCAGGCCCCATGCAAGTCCAAAATCCAACGGGGAAGTCATTTAAAAAGTTCCAAAATAATCTCCTTTGACTCCATGTCTCACATCCAAGGCACACTGATGGAAGGGGCAGGTTCCCATGGCCTTGAGCAGCTCTGCCCTTGTGGCTTTTCAGGGAATAGCCCCCATGGCTGGTTTCAGGGGCTGGCACTGAGTACTTGCAGCTTTTTCAGGTGCTTGGTACAAGCTGTCGGTCTGGAGGTCTGGAGGATGGTGGCCATCTTCTCACAGCTTCACTAAGCAGTGCCCCAGTGGGGACTCCGTGTAGGTCCCCAACCCCACATTTCCCCTCTACACTGCCCTAGTAGAGGTTACCCATGAGGGCTCCGGCCCTGCAGCAGACTTCTCCATGTACATTCAGGCATTACCATACAGCCTCTGAAATCTAGGCAGAGATTCTCAAACCTCAACCCTTGTCTTCTAAGCACCCACAGGCCCAACACCATGTGGAGGCCAGCAAGGCTTGGGGCTTGCACCCTCTGAAGGAACATTAAAGGCTGCATCTTGGCCCCTTTTTGCCACAGCTGAAGCTGGAGTGACTGGGACACAGGGCGCCATATTCTGAGGCCACACAGAGCAGTGGAGCTCTGGACCCAGAACATGAAACCATTTTTCCATAGTAAGCCTCCAGGTCTGTGACAGGGGAAGCTGTCCTGAAGATCTCTGAAATGCCCTGGAGACATTTTCCCCATTGTTTTGGAAAATAACATTTGGGCTCCTCTTTAACTTATGCAAATTTCTGCAGCAGGCTTGAATTTCTTCCCAGTAAATGTTTTTTTTTCTACCATATAGGCTACAAATTTTCCAAACTTTTATGCTCTTCTCTTTTAAACATGAGTTCCGATGTCAGACCATCTCTTCGTGAATGCATATAACTGAACACTTTCAGAAACAGCCAGGTCATACCTTGAATGCTTTGCTACTTAGAAATTTCTTCTGCCAGATACCCTAAATCATCTCTTTTAAGTCCTAAGTTCCACAGATCTCTAGGGCAGGGGCAAAATGCCACCAGTCTCCTTGCTAAAGCATAGCAAGAGTGACCTTTGCTTCAGTTCCCAATAACTTCCTCATGTCCATCTAAGACCACCTCAGCCTAGATTTTGTTGTAAATATCACCATGGCATCACAACCATTCAACAAGTCTCTAGGGAGTTCCAAACTTTCCCACGTATTCCAGTCTTCTTCTGAGCCCTCCAAAACATTCCAGCTTCTGCCCACTACCCAGTTCCAAAGTTGCTTCCATATTTTCAGTAATCTTTATAGCAATGCCCCACTTCTTTGGTACCAAATTTCTGTATTAGCCCATTCTCACACTGGTATATAAAACTACTTGAGAATCGGTAATGTATAAAGATAACAGGTTTAATTGACACACAGTTCTGCATCACTGGGGAGGCTTTAGGAAACACAATCATGGCAGAACATGAAGAACAAGCACCTTCTTCACAAGGCAGAGGGTGGGAGGGGAATGCTACACACTTAAAAACCATCGTATCTCATAAGAACCCACTCACTCTCACGAAACAGCATGGGGAAACCATCCCCATGATCCAATCACCTCCTTCCTACCAGGTCCCTCCCTGACACAGGGTGGTTACAATTCAATATGAGATTTGGGTGGGGATAGAGAGCCAAACCATATCAAAGAGCGATTAATACATGGAACATAGAGAATTTACAGGGCAGTTAAGCTCTTCTATGTGATACTGTGATGATGCATACATGACAAATGCATTTGTCAAAACACATACAACTATACAACACAAAGACTGAACCCTAATGTAAAGTATAGATTTTAATAATGAAGTATTGCTTCATCAATTTTCATCATCATCAAGGATACCATATTATTAATTGTAAAAAATCATTACAAAAATGTAAGATGCTAAAAATAGGAAAACTATGAGCTGGAGAAAAGAAATATGGGGTAATTGTACAATCCGCTCAATTTTTTTGTATACCTAAAACTTCTGAAAAATAAAGTCTATGAAATAAAAAAGCAAATAAAGTACCAAAAAGGGACATGAAAAAAATACTAAAACATTAATAACAAGAATAATTTAATGATTTAAATAATATCAAGACATTAATAATCTACACATTTTTCATGATGCTTTATTTCCCCTCCAAATAAAAGATTATTTAGTTAAATTACAAAGTAATATTATAAGTTCCCTTAGGGGAACTTAATTAAATGTGCATTCATAAACTATTTCCTGGATGAGTTCATGTATTTATTTAGTAAATACCACTTAAAATTATAATTATTATTCTAATTTAACAAAGTTAAACCAAATGAAGAATAACA